ACACGTGGGAGATATTTGTAGATTATGGAAACAGCTGATTATACTGTACAAAGTTTTATCCACGACAGCATTTTAATTTAGGAAGTACACTGCTAGGCTACAGAATTGAAAACATCAAAAGCTGAGGAAATCTTAAGGTTGAGTCAATTATTAAATTTAAAAAAGAAAGAAAAAGAAAGAAAATATGGAAGTTTGAGCAGAGAAATGCAACTCAGGTCTTCTGTTCCAAGGCCTCAGGGAAGGCACTGTTCTGCTTCCTTCAGAGATTTTTGCTGAACGTACCAAAACACGCACGATCAAAGAAGTTTACAGCATGTCTTCCTTTTAACACAAAATGAATACAGACACACAAATGCAATACATTTACAAAAGACAAAATACCAAGTAGTCCTCAAAGTAATATTACTGACAAATAAACATTCGCAGCTGGAAATATAATGCTGCACCAAACTGGTGGGATGCCACTGTACTATGAACATATCCAACTGTTTGCTGCACAAGAAACTAAGAACTACTAAACTTTAAAGACACAAGTTAATCACAACAAGGAGTTTGCTATTACAGAAATCTTTTAGATAATTACCTAGTTCTAGTTAAGCATATTTACTCTACAAAAGCTCTTAAAATATGGTATCAATGAAAGAACACAGTGGAACCACATGAAGCTCAGAACCCTTCAAAGAACTTATTCCACAAAATGGTCTTTAACAACTGTTATTTCAAACACTGCCCAAAATGAAAATTTTTCAGTCAAAAAACATGGCCCAGTTATATCCTGTAATATGCATCTTCTACCACTAACAAAACACACACAAAACAAAAAACTATTTCTAAAGAGCACTGTATTTCAAAAGCTTCAGAGAACATTCCTACTACTTTCTACAGGAATTCCATGTGGCAGTTTAAACTGCCTGAAATTTAACGACAGCATCCTGAAGATGAAATAAACAGCTTTAAATAGAGGCAACCTGTTTTCAGACTATTATTAATAATTACAAACAGCAACAGAAAAAAAACCTGTAAACACACACTCACTTACTGAAACACTGACACTTCCTCCTCAGTTCAGTCAGATTCTATCCTACTTAATCTGCTTCCTAGTTCTTCTGGGACTCAACAAAAGCCAACCCAGAAGCAACCCGCACCATTCCACCTATGCCAGGAACTGCTCTCTTATGCTCATACAATCATGCTTACTATTCAATTACCTCAGAGTACAGCACAATGAAATGGTCTCTTAAAAGTTCTGAAAGTCTAACACATTAACAAGATACAAATTCCCTATAAAGCTTTAACTCTAAGAACAAACAAATGCAGGCACATTGTTGAAGCTGGGGATCATTCTTACAACTATACATAAGAATGGTTGGAGTGTTTAAATTCCAGGTTTAGTCTGTTTATCAATAAATTAGTAGGAAGTATTTTGCATGCCGATTAAAATGCTCTTGAACTAATTAATATTGTCATAAAAATTACTTAGAATATTCTTTATTAGTACTTCTGACAATGACAGTATCTATAAACAATTATTCAAACTACACTGGCATAGCACATCAAAAACGTGATCACTCTTGAGTGCAGCACTACCAATTATTTCAGTGCATTGTTTACTGTGTTTTTCTAACAATGATGTGAATAATTGCACATTTTTCCCTATTATCTCATGGCTGATGCTAAAAAGCATGCTCCACGTGTGCAAGTGATAGCTGTCCTCCATGTAATAGGCAGGAACACAGCCAATATAGATGAACCTTCCATAAAATAAGGAATCTCAAGGAAAACATTGATGATTTCAGAGTCCATGAACTCAAAGAGCCTTCAACTGGAATTAAAACCTCTAAAATGACCATCTACACTCTATTCCTTATGGAAACCATTCCTTAAGGAATCATCTCCAACTACTAATGCAGCACCAGTTTCCTCCAAGACCAGAAACACCCTACTTTTGGTAAAATTCCAGCTCTCTCAAGGAATGAAGCAGCAAAAAAAATATGACAGTCTTAGTTGGATGTACAATACTGCTGTGTCCAGAAGCCTACATCATCACTCATTAGCCTCCTTAGGCAAAACCTGAGGCTGAGGTTCCACACTGTGGGGCAAGCGCATCATTTTTTTCTGCTAGGTTATTTTTAGTTGGATCAGTTCCCCACACAGCTGCAAATTGAACTGTGCCAGCAGAACACAGAGAGAAGCAACAAGCAGATGGGTGATGTCACTTAAGACACAGCCAGGGAACAATGGAAGCCTCTGAAACGATCAAAGCACTGGTGAATAACTTCCTACTGGGTAGTGAAGACATCATCTTAATATTAAGTAAATAAGAACAAGTTTTCACTTGGAGGAATTAATGTTCTTGTTTCAGGTACACCTGAAGCCAGTTCTCCCCAGCAATGACCAGAAAAACAAAAGCCAGACACACAAACCACCTTGTAACATATATGCTGAGCTGAATCAATCTGCCCTACTTGTCACTGTCTGAAAACCCAAGCTAGTAGCTCACAGTATTTCAAAATCTGCTAACAGTTGACACCTTCTTGCCTATAGCACCTTCTCCTAACAACAGCTGAGTAAAATCAACAGGACAACTCAATTGCAATGGCTGCAAATAAAACCTCTTCGTTAACAACAGCAATTCAAATACACTGCATTTTGGCATGACTACAAGTTGCAGTCTGACCGCAGATATAATAAAGAGAAGAAGGATGTCATCCAGTAATATCTGATGTAAACTCACAGCTTTTGTTGAAGACTAGTATTATTATTTATTTTTACTGAAAATAAATATTAAATCTGAACTTCAGTGGATACAAGTGACCCAAAACATAATGCACTTTCAAAGAACAGGTTTGATGGGCTTTCTATTAATGAAATAAAAACACATGCTAGATTTACCCAGACTTCAGCAAGACATTTGCCATCAACTTATTCCACATTCAAAGTTTGTCTGTCCCTAACTGATATTCTCTATACAATGCCAACGGGACAGTCTTTGCCTCCTATAACGACCTGCAATAATCTGCCATGAATCTCACAAGTCCTAACTCCTACCCAGAAGCCATTGATGGTCTTTGTTGCTACAAAATAGCTGGCAATTTAAAAACAGTAACACACACAGAGCTGTATCTAACTGAATGATCCACATTTGTCAAAATATTTGTGAGAGATCAAATCAGAAGAAAACAACATGAAGCTTTCAACAGACCTCTATCAACCCAGAACTGCTTCATCTTGAGCACGTTTTCTACTTTTGCAATCAATTAACAATTTTGATCTACTTTGTGCAAACTACACTGCCAATGTTTTTACACAAAGGATGCTATGCCTTTAATAAAGACATACCCTCCTTCACTATATGCACAAGTGCATACATTTGAAGGTAGTTAATAAAACGAATAGGCTTCCAAGGGAAAAATATATATACGTTTGTCGGGACCTGTTAGGTCAGGGCTTGAACTGATGGCTGGACACCTGGTGAAGGGATTGTGACTGGCCCAGGGAAACACACGCCATTGTGTGCACATGGTGCTCCCCATCTGACCACAAGGGGTGGATCCAGGGTAGAGCCACTCTGGGCTCATATAAGGGCCGGCACTGAAGGGAGAGCATCTCAGGGACCTAAGCTGCTTCCTAACAGTGAGTGCTGTAGTGCTGGAGAGCCCTTCACCAGTTGGCTGAGTTCTGTTCTTCCTGTATGTGACTGTTGGCCTACTTGGGAATACTTTGCCTGGTATTGCCAAGAACCTGTCAGAAGTAATTTCACTTCTTCATGAGCAGAACAACATTAGTCATGCTGCTTTTAAGTAATTACATCCTTCATCATCTTCTCCACAACTTTATCCAAGGCTAATTCCATCCTAGACACCTTGCAGTTCTGAAGACCACCCTGCTTCAGCATTTCATGCTTCTGGAACTTCTCAGGACTTTAAAATTGGATGTTATACATATCAGTACAATCTAAACATGTCTGAATTGCCTGTACTTCTCAGATCCCAAGCATTTACAAAATTAACCATAATTGCAGTTAGTATGTTTAATAATTAAGAGTAATAGAATGAAATAAAACTTATTCACGCTTTGAATTTATTATGTAATGCACTTCTGTACACTCCACAATCACTGGAAGGTTGGCAGCTATCAGACACTGAGCTGATACGCAGCCTGGAATGAACACACAATAGCACAACCTGAAGATCTTGCCCTTACGTCTCAGTCAGCAACACAGCAGGTTATACTCTGCAATCATCAGCACGACCATAAAAGCAGCCTACTGAGCCCCATGCAATGAAGAGCAAGTGTTTATAAATTTCTATGAGCAAATGAAACAAAAAGCATTGTTTCTGGCTGAAACAATGGCTTAAAAAAACCAAACACTTTTTAATAATTGGAAAGCCTGATGAAATAGACCTAAGAAACCAACACCTACCCCAAATAAAATCACAGTTCCATACTCCCACTCAGTATTTAAAACAGAACATGAAACACACATTAAATGCCATCTTTTTCTCTTCAATTAGCATTTTTCAGCCTTGTATGATCTACTGAGACTGCAAACAAACACAAAGGCACAAACCCAGTCTAAGGCACTCATTCTACACAACTGTGCCTCTTGAAACTGTTAGCTTCTGAAGTTTCCGAGTTTCCCACTTCAATTAAGAACCCTTTCAAGGTACAGGTTCAACTCTGTATGGTCACGTAGTAGACCAGAAAAATGAAACAAGCAGTGTGGCACTACTATATAAACTAAATAAACTTCATACTCATATCTGAATCAGAAGTGTATTGTGCTTTTTTTTTTTCCTTTCCCCAATTAGAATTCAATTTAGAAATAGCTAATAAGTTAAAATACAACTGTGTTTTTCATCAGTCTTACTATGCTACAGGCTTTGAAATATAGTACAAGCCATGAAAACAGTGAATTACCCAAATGTTTTGTATTCTATTATATCAGCTAATATTGGAAATGCTAATAAATAGATACATAAATAAACAAACCACCTTACCTTTTGGATAATCTTCCAATAAGAGGTTGAAGTGACCTAACTGACAAAAGAAATCAGACTCGACCTTTCCTTCAGCTTTCAAAATTAGCGATTCATAGCAGCGAACAGCCTGAGAAAAAGAAATAAAAGGTTGTCAAAATCTTGTATTTAACTAAAGCAAATAGTACATTTTCTGAGCAATAACGCATCTTGTTGCTCTCCAATGGAAGAAGCCCATCATCTAAATAACTTGCAGTTAGCACTGTTTATCAAACATAAAATGTAGTATTTAAGACAGAGCAGTTTCAGAAATTCAAATCTTCTAATGCGCACCAAAAGCAAACAAGTAACTGAAGATCTGTCAACTTCAGAAACGCTTGCTCTCCCAAACACAAATTTCCATACCCTGAAAGTCATTGAAAATAAAATAATCAGTCATTTTATTCTCATTGCTTTTGACTTCTATTCCTAAAGGAATCACTTTTCATCATCCTAAGCATTTAACGAGTTTTTGCTAAACTGAACAACGCAGCACCTCAACGTGTTTTCTTGGACAATTCATGTAGTCTAGCATGTGTTTTCAAAGATCTGACTCTTCACATACCGCTGTCATGTCGTAAAACGCACTGCTTACTACCTTCCATTTACTACATAGTCACTTCAGACTAAGTATCACTGAAGTTACAAACCCTGAATCCAACAGAATAGAATTTTGAGAGAAGTGGTCCTACAAGTTTCTAAGCAGCGCTCACAAAATATGTTCTGCCCAGCAAAGATAGACTTTTATAAAACTATTATCTTCTATTCATCACAACAGTCATGATCTTTGACCTCTCCTACTCTTACCTCATGACCCCACTGACAGGTTGGGAAAAGATAAATTCTTTCAACTTCTTGAACTTCCCATCAGTTTCTTGATTTTGAACATGCTAGCCATTAAGGTGAAGTAGCTGAACAAACTTAAATGGGTGGGATGAAGTGAGTGAAGGTCCTCTGCACCAACAGACCTTCAAAGCTCTCAAGAACTTGTCAGAATTCCAGTGAATTCCAACTCCAGTTGGCTAATCCCAACTTTCCACCAACTCATGGCTTAAACATACTTCCAGTGCAGCTGCCGTGATGAACTGCTTGACTTTAATATACTACCACAATCAAGAGACTGTAATATTTAACATGAAATGACAACTTAAGTCATCTTATTAAAACTGTAAGTAACTGGGGGACAGCAGGAAGGCAGAGGCAGCACGCCAACTATCCCTGTAGTAGTCCAACTAGTAAATCATTCCGACCATATCTGTGATTTACTTCATTAAAAACTTGTATTAATACTCAAAATGAGAAATTCCAACAGCATGAAAAGGAAATACCGTCAAATAGTTAAGAAAACACCGGTTCATATTTTTCATTAATGCTGCAAATTCTGCCTTACCAAACTGATCTAAAAAGATTGATTTTGTTGACGATTCATCAGAGGTACTGCTCCTTTAATTTTACTCCCACCACTAAAAATACCTACTGAAGTCAGCCAACTCTCAGTCTAAAGAAAATTATCCCTAGAATCCAAACCAAGGCATACAAGCTTGAATTGAATTTCTTAAAATTATTACTAGTTTTAGTCAATTCTCAGCATTCAGGTTTATCCACTGAACCATCTGCAATTGCAGTTATATTTAATCTTCGGGGTTTTGTGCCTCAATTTCTCTCCCCACTTTTTGGTCTTATCTCTGGATTTGTGCAAATCTAACACAATTATTGCTGCTGCCTCTAACGCTACTGTCACAATTACAATTTGTAGATAGGACTTCCATTTTCTGACGATATGCCATAGCTGCGGTAATCGCTGAAGAGAATACTCACACTTTGACATTTTCTGAAACAAACGTTTTGTCTTTATAATTCAGTCACTGCACAGAGCATAAAGAAGCCACTACCACAACTGTCAATATACAAGATTTATTGGAGAAGAATTTGGAGAGAGTTTATTTCTTTAACTACTGGTATTTTAGGAGAATTTAACTTTGTGAACAAATATAACAGGATTTTTCCATACAGCATCTTCAAGGAAATTATAAACATACACATTTTAACAACTAGGCATCCAGGGACCCTTAACACTCTCCCTGCCCCTTCTCAAATAAACGCACATTAGAAGATGCACGAGAAGCTTCTGAAACATTATATAAAGTAGGGATACCAAAAGCTGTGTCCGTGCCTTTCACAGAACTCTGCCCAGCCCTCAGCGAGGCAAGTTTGTCCTGCCTTAAAACATGCTCTGAAAATACAGCTCAAGCATCTTACTGACCCTGCTGTCAGCAGAAGGAAAGGCACAGAACACCAAAGCTACGAAACAGAACTTCCTCTTGAATAACAGTTAACTGCTGGAGCAATCTAGCTATGCCATCAAGCACACAGCCTCAGCTGATCTCTAACCGACAAGCAATATTGCCAGGAAAACAATTACACTTAAGAGCACTCATATTGGGGCTGGTTATTTCATATGAATTTTCAACTTTCTTTAGCACATTCTCACCAAATGAAACAAAAACCAAAAGCAAGAGCATCCTTTGCTCTCCATCCCTGGTGGAACACCTGAGCCAAGAGGAGTCACCCATACAAATGGATTTACCCAGTTTCAGTCCTGGCTGAGAAACCTTCTTGCTGATCAAACCCACCTGAAATCATTTTTATAAATAACAAGTATCTACCAGCACAGATAATAAATTATTTGTTAGCTGAATTAACAGATTCAACAAGAGATTAAAGCATTTTCAAATGGGGAGGTCACAACTATATGCACCCACATATGGCTTCTTTGAATGAGTAATCTAAAGATCTCATTTCAGTGGCTCTGTAACTATAAAGGTCAGCTACGACACCACTTGTGCAACGAATTTAAATCATTCTGGTACACTGAGAATTCTGCAGAAGTTGTAAATAAGATAAATAAAAACAAAACCCAGATTCCTAAGTATTGCTATAAATCAATACAACGTGGAGGAAATAAGCATACTCAATGAAACCAGCCTTGAAGACCACTAGTTTTGACAAATTAACAAGAGGGAGGAAGACTGTGAAATTCTAAGGAAGATTCCTACACAGCATCGTATGCTTCCTTCCATTTGTTCAAGGCTGCGTGAAGAGAAAAGGGAAACCTGAAGAATTTAAGAACATGGCAAAACCATCACCTGCAGCTGCTTTGCAGTATGGCTGTCTGAGCAGAAGCAGGAAACAAATTCAGGAATGGCTTCAGGAAAAGAAGCTACGGTTTGAGATGGAAAAAATATATATTTTTTTATATATATAATATAATTTATATAATATAATATATATATTTATATATAGATATATATAAACAATAATGCCCACATGATATGCCAGCTGCCTGATTAAAAGCAAACCTAAGCAACACACATGGCCAACACTTCTAACATGATGGTTATGAAACAACTTTTATGACATCAGAGCCCATTACTGTGGAAATTCTGATTCCACAAATTCAACAATCATTTCCTAGGGCAAGATTAAATACAATTTAGATACAACACATACTTCTACGTATTTATCAACTAGGAAAATGCTTGCATAACATTCCTATTGTTTAGGAGAGAAAAAAAAATTCTTAGCACTTTACAAAAAAACAAAAAATCCCACCACCAAAAAAAACCACACCACTACCAAATCCCTGTATGCTCACTACTTATTACTTCAAAGGGGAAGGAACTGGATTCACTTTTTCCTTCTTTTGTGAGATCTTTTCATTACATTTCTGCAGAGTACTGTTTTTTTTTCCCCCACTGAACAAAAAATAGCACAATAAAGCAAATGCCTACTTTGACTATTAAGAACATGATTCCTTTTCATGAAGAAAAGCCTCTAGATTTGGGAGTATTCTGTAAGAAAAAAAATAATCCAACAGATAAGACCAGAATTTGAGGTATGATACACAGGAGTCACTGATAACATCTTACAGGTCTACTTCATCAAGGAGAAGGTAGGGAATGTTATCTCTGTTTCATCTATTACAAAACAACAACAACAACAAACTTTACTACTTTGGTTGTAATAATTTGTATTCAAACACTATTGAACATTTTTTAAGGGAAAAAATTTAGCACAGCTTTCTGAACAGCTTATAAAGAAAACAATGTCTTAGGAGGAAGTTTTTCACACAGAGGGTGGTGACGCACTGGAACAGGTTGCCCAAGGAGGCTGTGGATGCCCCATCCCTGGAGGCATTCAAGGCCAGGCTGGATGTGACTCTGGGCAGCCTGGTCTGGTGGTTGGTGACCCTGCACATAGCAAGGGGGTTGAAACTACATGATCTTTGAGGTCCTTTTCAACTCAGGCCATTGCATGTATGTTCTTCCTCACTCTTGCAAGCATCACTGACCAAGACAAAAGCAGCAGAGGAGTATATGGCTAAACACAGCTACTTATTTTTAATTTTTCAATATATTAATGGTATGAAAATGCAAGAATGCACTGACGCAGAAGATTTTTACTCAAAATAGAAAAAGACAAAGACAAAACCACAGAAAGCCAAAAACTAAGTTAACTGTTCAAGAAAAAGCAGACAACAGTGTAAAATGCCAGATTCAAGCCCCGAGATGTTCCTAGAGCCTTGAAGAACACATTAAAGTACAAAACACTGTTGTAAATGTACATTAAAAAAACTAGTCAGTTGCTTCTTCTTTCTAAATGTATTCTGAATGATCTGAACATATTGGCTTTGCATGCAGCTAACAAGAACTGCAAGCAAGAAGGAAATTTCAGGTGGAAAAAAAAGAAGAAAAAACAAAAAAAACAGGAGACACCAGCACACTCTTCACAAACGGAACACTAAACATAGAAATAAAATGTTAACTAGCTCCTAAGGGATATTTTACTCTTCCAGAAAAGAAAATAATTATATAGATAGTGCTGGATACTGAAGTGATAATTATACAATCTCTCCGACCAGCCAGTCCAAGGGACACCTGCAGAGCAGGAAAGCAGAAGTCCATGTACATCCCAGGCCCATTCTCCCCCCTTCAGCATCAAAAGCAGATACTTTCAACGCCTGCTCTTCCATTCCTTTCTCCATGCCACAACTGACTGAAATGCATGTTATTTTCAAACAACAATGACG